ATTTTCCTGGTATTCTGTGTAGTTCATTAGATCCATCTATCCTTCCAAGCCGTGTTGTTCATCAAACAGGTACCATCCCAGACACGACCAGTCTGAGACTGCCAGGACGGCCTGCCGCCCCAGACAGACCCCCCTTTTCCACCCCTGGCCGTTTCTCGGTCGTCCAGTCACCAGTCCCAGACAGGTCGTGTCTGGGCATGGAATTGGTACAACCGCTGCAAGCCAAACCGACCCCCGACGCGCGACACAACCAACGAGCCCAGCACGAGTTCGGCTCGCGTTCGCACGTTGTTGGTGCGAACGGGTCGAACGCGTATGGGTCGCCACCTCGGTGGTTCCCCACGGGGAAACGGCCACGCTCGTTGTATATCGTGCCTGCAGGATTGATATCGGCTGGTGGTTTAGGCTTTAGGGTCTGACTTGGGGACCGTTCATGCCGAGCCTGGGTCGACCTCATTGAGTAGTGTTTCTTCTTTGTTTCTTAATGAAACTCAGAGGCAGGACCGAGTCATTTGGCCCAGCACCGTGGTGCGGGTGGTTTTTGGTCGAAGTCCCTCACCACCATCGAATAGAAATCCCATGCACACATATAATATAGATCGATTATATATATATAATATTATATTGTTATTTCACATATAATAATATATATATACACATACACATTGGAGGTACGCATAAACTACATATAACTCATGTGTGGCCTCAGTGGTTCAGATAGGTAAACTTGATTGGAGAGCATGGCGACAGGGGATGCAAGTCACTAATTCCAATGCTGGCAGCGCCGCGCAAGAAGGGCACCGTGGCGTTTCCCGCCCCCCAACCAGCAGCTTCTGTACTGGAACGATCCATCTATATACTTTGCTTCAACACCCTCCACCAGGTTTTTGCTGTTGCCATGGAGGGTCCCTGCTCAATGAAGTCTTTGAAAAGCTTGAGTCGTGTTTTCTCTGCTGAAAAGAACGGAGGCAACATGCTAACCATCCATGAAGGCTAAATGTCGATTGCCGTGCGTTCACGGTGTCCAGACACCCTGTGCCAAAAAAGGGGCATGGAAGAAGGAAAGCGTCGTTACAGTGTAGAACATCAGCCCATGGGGCAGTACCAAAGCGTGGCAGAGAAAACAAACCTTGTGGAGGAGCTGCGCGTGTCTCGCGCGTGTCGTATAAGTCCCACGCGGCATGAGAAAATGCATGGATTTGTCCCTTTGACCCTTGACCAAACGACGGTTACAGTAAAAAAACAATGCGCCTTCATTTACTTTTTGCTTTTGACAAGTACTTTTGGCGGAATTGTTCTAACCACCATCCATCAAGTTATTATCAGGGAGTTCCTCTATGGAGCCACAGCAGGTACACACCTGATTGCAGGATAGCACTCCATGTGGATGTTCTGATGAACATCGCATAGCTAGAAATGCTAGAAGTCCATTTCATGACACATCGGGACATAGATGGTTGGTTGACAAAAAACACTTGTTACTGGTTACCTTTGGTAATGGGTTCTAGAAGAAGGGTTTGGCAACCTGTTCGCTGAAAAAACCTCAGTCATCTTGAAGAGGTGCTGGCGGCGGAGGAGGAGGAGGAGGTGGAGGGATGCAATTTGATCCTGCGGTAAGGAGCCCAAGATGTGTGTCCGGAGTAACGTGAGAAACGTGACAGGTTTAGATTGGATTCCCAGACACTCCATGTATGGTATATTTACCTATCAGTTGGGGTGGTGCCAGGGGGGTCAATGGGGCGGCATATATGGCAGTCCCATGGAGTGTCTGGGATTGTCATTCCAGGGAATTTGCTGGGGAACATTTGGACATATGGATGCACCTGTTTCAGTTGAGTTGTACTTGTGCCTACTTGCACGTACTTTTTCCTCATGCTACTATAGTTCGGGAGATCCCTCACCCAAGTGCCACGATCGCTTAGCTGGTGCGATTCTTACGACTCGACTCCTTGGATGTTCACCGGAACAACGGCATTGTCCGGTACCTTGACATCAAGGACTGGCCTTTGTCCATAATTTCAAGTCAATCTTCACTTAGTTGCTGGCCACCTGGGCCTACCCTACTGTCGAGGTTTTCCTTTAGGGGTAAAAAAGCACAGGTGGTTTAAACCGAAAACTTGTATACCGTCCAATCCCGGTGGGATCGAGGACTGCCTATTCCCTAGGGGTCAATCCCCTTCTGGGGACGTGTTTTTCTTTTTTTAAATCAAGGTTCCTCAAGCAATCCAATTGACCACGATACCTGTGAGCCGTCAGGTTTCACTAAGAACATCACTATAATAGAGAAAGGCCTGCAACCAGGCCCATCATCATCCCTCTCGGGCTCCAGTCGCTCAGGTCTCAGGTTCGGTGTTTGGAGCCCTGTAAGGCACCCACTCCAAAGACCGAACCTGAGACCTGAGCGACTGGAGCCTGAGAGGGATGAGATCCACATCCACACTCTCTGGTTTGGCCGTGGATCGAACTGGCCTGGGCTGGAGGTCAATCGGAGTGGACAACATCTATGGCTTGGGTCGACACTCTTAGAATGCAAGGAGGGTGGGTTTTGACCCTCATCCTGGGTTCTCGTGATTTTTGAGACCTTGGTCGCTCATATCATGAGTCAGAGCATCATCCTGAAGCGATACAACCCTTACGGAAGACGCGTTTCACACAGCTATGCCTAGGGCCTAAGACTCAGTTAGGACACTGTGGGTAGAAATACTTGGAAGTCTCGAAGCTCTTGCCAACTTCTACTTCTGGACATCGGGCACCATATAACACCCTACACCTCCAGTCGCACCTCCTCAGGTTCGGTATGACTGGACCCTCCAAACGCACCCGGGACCCCAGTCCCACCGAACCTCAGGTTAGGTACGACTGGAGGTCTAGGGACACCATCGTATTTGATGGACGCCCAGGTGTTCACCCCTTCGGTACGACTGGCTTTTCACGCGCCGTTTGCGGCCAAGCGGCCGTGTACCAGAATACACCTCGAGGCACTAGCGGCGGCCGCCGCCAAGAATCCGAAGATCAAGGCACGTTTTTTGGAAAGGTGAGTTGTGGCAGCTGTTGTTCTCGATCTCGGGAATATGTTTGTGAAGTTTTGTCATGAAAAAGACACCACCCAATGGCGTCGTGCTCTAGCAGATCGTGCTCTAGCAGATCGTGCTCTAGCAGATGATTTTGGGTTTGTGTAGTTCCATTGAATCAAAGGCACAGGATGGCACAGGCATCCTTTGGAATGAATAGCTTCAGTTGAACCCAGTTTCCAGGGTACTTTGGAGGGTCCGGGTACAACCTTAGACTGTGATTGCATGGACCCGGCTTGGGGACATGCTAACAAGAAGGGGCGTATACCACTCATGAAACCTCAGGTACGACCAGGGCTGTTTTCCGAGGACATTGAGATGAGGGCCGGCATAGGGCCACCCTGTTTCTTCTGTCCAACCATTCGTGCCCTGTTTTTGCTCCTTTCGTAGGAACTGTTGCCGACCGAAGGCAATTGGTTCTGACCCTGCCATTTGTTTGACTGTGCCCAGATCTTTGTGCGCGCAAAGGTCGACTCGTGACTGACATATTTAAAGAAGATATACACTCACTATAACATTGGTTTTATAAAACATGAGGTTTATTAAATCAGTCAAGACTCGTGTTCTTGACTAACATGTGGATTGCAAAACCTCATCAGGGGGTGGTTTGATGAATCAAAACTCTAATCTCGCCCAACCAGAAAAAGTTCCCCGGGAGGTTGTACAGGACCATGACGTATCCTTACCCATTCTCGAAGGTGCTTGGAGGGTCCAAGTACCTAGACCTTCAAAGCACTCCAAAACATGGGTAGTACTCATTAGTCATGTTCCATTTTTATAGGGTAGTTTAAAGTGTCCAAGTAGTAACAGCAACCCCTCTTTGAGGGTTGTTGGATCACGGTGTTTGCAGCGTGTTGAATCTGTGAAAAGTGGGTTTCAGGGGTCAACCTAATTGGACCATACTGGACCCTCAAGAGTACCTTAGAACATGGGACATGTGACATGACACTGTAAAAAACAGGTCCTTGTGCTATCCTCATTTTCCGTGTTACTTTGACAACTCCAGGAATGTTTCCATGCAGTGTTTGGGAGGTGCAGTGTCGTGACCTCCGCAACGTACGCGTTGGACGGTCGTTGGACACGCCAAGCTCGGGAAAATCCGCCAATCCACTTGGCGAGTCAGAAGATTGGAGTGAAACTTCTTCCCACACCTGAAGCCTTCCGTCTGACAATGTTTAAGACGGTTGACCTGGTTTTAGTATACCTGGACCCTTCAAAGTAGCCTAGAAATGACCATGTTTTGGAGTACTTCGAGGTCCAGGTAGCCCCAAATCTGCAACACAGGGATCAACAGACGCAGGGGCGCGACCCGGGTCGGAAGGCGACCCCCGGTTTCAACCTGTGTGTAGCTGGAGCGAAGAAGCTGGTGATGCTGTGATGTCAGCAGATCTCAAGTTGGGTCACCGGAAAGGTCTCGTGTTGACCTTGTTCTTCTCGGTCAGGAATACATGCAGGACAAGGAGTTGATGCAGAAGGTGGGCAGGGATCTGCGGTGATGTGACATCGAAAGCATCATCATCATGTCCACTCCTTTGATCCTTTGATGTTTGCTTTGGTTCATCTCCAAGGCCTAAAGAGACAAGAGCGGTCTCTTGAATACCATGAATACCTGCATACATGCATGATTGCCTGAGTCAGATCATTGACCTGACCACAAACCTGTGCTGGCAATTTGAATCTATAGGAAAAATCAACAGAAACAACATGAAACAACTGTACCCTAGCGCTCCAAATACCTTCTTAGAAGGACTGGGGGCGCGGGTGCCATGTTCGGGTCCAGTCATACCTCGAACTTAACCCGCGGCCTCGGCCTGGATATGACTCGTTCGAGAAAAACCAAAAAGGGTGAACGGCACCCGTTCAGGTCAACTGATCCCTGACCTTTCGTTACCCACCGGAGTCATGCTTTGCTTGGAGTCTTGCTTGGTCTGCGGGTCGCGGGTCGGTTCGCCCTGGCGGTTCGCCCTGGCGGGTCCGGACCGAGGTGAACATGTTGGCCTCCCTTAGTGGCACCATGCAGCAGACAATGGTCATGCAGATGGTGCAGCAGGAGAGTAGTGCTACGATGTGTCATTTGGACGCATGGTCCAGACACTTTGGTGCATCTAGATTCGCATACCTGTTGAAGTTAGGACATTGGCTGCTTAGAGTCAGAGTAGAGTCTTGACATTGCTTTGGCACATAAAGACATTTGATGGGTCACTTAAGGGCATTTGGTGGACATTCTGCAGACACACCTACAGATTTTAACCAAAGGCATCGGTATAGAAGTTGAACACATCACACAGCCTCTCATGTCCTTGAGATACTATATATATATATTAGATGTTCACTAGCCCTATGGATCCACATACCCTCTGAGGTATGATGATTGGACTCTCTTTTTAAGGAAAACGACTGGAGGGTCCAGTAGGCTTCTACCGAACCCCCGGTTGGTACGCTGGATCTGTGGATCGCTTCGGTAGCATATAGATGTTCAGATCCTAAATCGTTTCTCCTAAGCCTTGCCAACTTCAAACACACTGGCGATCCGATGTCAGGACCAAAGAGTCTTGGAGCTCTTCCTTGCCATGCAAGGGGTGGATGTCAGCACCATGCGTCCTACTGGCGAGCTTGAGCCAGGGCCAGTCAGGGCCATTGGGGAGCCCGTCTGTGACCTTCGATTTCGTGTTCTTGCTCAGAAGACAATGCAGACTGAATCAGACTGAATTCCTTCTGAATTCGCCTCCCTAGACCCGGAGACCGACCTCGACCTGGTTGGACCGGAGCATCCCGAACCCACACGCTCGGGAACCACGGCGGTTCCTCCCCCGCTCCTCCGCGGGGTGGCGCCGGGCGCCCAGACGACGAACCGGTCAGGGCCAGAAGACTTCGAACAAGAGCTCGGAGCCCAAGTGAGTCTCGTGACCGCGGACGGATTCGATGAGAAGACCCTCCCTTTTTGGTTCGGACCTCCGGTGAGTCACGGGCACGAGGAGGTACCGGTGAAGGGTGGGTGAGTCATGGGCACAAAGGAGCCTGAGTCGCGGGCGATGAATGATGATCGGCCCTGAACCAGGGTGATTCAGGCTCACCCTGGGTGAGCCGGAATGAGCCGGAAGCATCCAGGTCGATTTCAGACTCCGTCCCCATGTGGGGTAGACGGTTCACCAACCTGTTAGACTCTTGGGTCGGAGTCGGAGAACGCTTCATGTCGTGGGTTCTGCACTCCAAAGTCACTATCCGGGCCCTCAAGTGGATAGGGTTTTGAGGATCCAGTCCCCTGCTATGCAGGGTCCAAGGATCCTTAGAGTCTTAGAGTAGGCTATGATGGATCAGGTTTCTTAAGGAGGATTCGTAGTCCTATCCATGGCAGTTGGAGCTAACAAAGCAAGCAACAAGAGGCAGAACCTCCCGAAGGCGCAATAATTTTGTATGCATCATCCCAAATCGTTTTCGGCCACTAAACTCGATCCATGTATATCCATGTATGGCATAGTTGTCTACATTGCGGTACGAATTCAGGGGAAGTTATATGCAATATATTTCAGTTTTCCATGGAATGCTTGGGGTTGAGACATGAGTTTTGTGCAGGACACCACCACCTCCCAAGAAGCAGCCAAAGAAGGAAGAGCCTAAAGAGGAGGCCTTGTTTCACGCCGGTGACGTGAGCGGATGGTCGACGGTGGACTGAGATGAACATACACTTTACTAAACCCCAAACCCTAAAACCTATAATTAGTAGGAAAGAACTGCAGTACGGGAACAGATCAGGGTTCAGTTGAAACATCTGCCGGACATCTGGAGATAGTTGGAGATAGTCGGATCCCACGAATCATGTCCAAATGGCAACGTGATATTCTCAAGGTCGCTCAGGGTTGCGTTTGTCTGACCCGAGGTTCTGTTTGTTGCCTTGAGATATATCAGTGTCTGGAAAGGGTCTAATGCGGCCAGGAAGATGAAGGGCGGAAGAAGACCGGAGTGGTGATCTTCAGATATCTGCAGTTTCTTTACAAATACTTCTATGTTCAACCTTAGTCAGTGGGATCATTGAACCCACGGACTCATGTGTTTCGTGAGTCACCAACGGCCGATTTCAAGGGCCTACGACTGGGCTACTAATACAATATATAACAACTAATTAACTTGAAATTCCAGGCCATCACGCAGACGCATCACATGACATTGCATGTCATTCTCATCTCAAGGCTATTCCAGAGTCTGGGTACAGACGTTTTCTGCGATATGCCATGCTTTGTGTAAATGCAGCGTTTGAGAAATTGTCCACCCAACCCGCGCGAACTCTGGGAAATTGTCGATGACACATAATTGTTGCACTCAGCTTCCCCAAAAGATCGCCACAATGAAGTATTTATTGTGAACTGTGGTTTATTGTGAACTGTGGTTTTGTAAATATATATATATATGTGATAGTTCATGCGTTATCAATATATATATATATATTATATGCACACGGTATTCATGTGGGATCCCCCCAAACACAGTCTACCAATGTTTATATTATTGTTAAATCTACTTGTTAAATCTACTTTTTATTTGGATACCATATATGTATATACACAGATCTACAGAGCGCACTTAAGAATATATATATATATCCAGAAGTCAGGGATACGGTAAACCTGAAAAATAAACACAACGGGCTAACCATTGGCAAACGCTTTGCAAACGTTCGAGCAGGGTCTAAGATTCAAGAGTTCAGCATCTGTATAAAAAGGCCTTGCATCCAGAGTCTCTCCATCCGTCCAAGTTTCTGGATTCAAACACTTTTTTTTCTGGACCAGGTACTACTTTGAATCGAGGATCCAGGTACTACTTGGAAAAAATCAACGTGGGAATGTTTTGCAACTTTTGAAGAAACCCTCAAGGTAAAGAAAACACTACCAGCAAAACTGAGTGTTCAACAATACATTGAAAAACTTTTATGGCAATGAGCCCAGAATGAAGAAGATGACCTAAGATAAAGTTCTGTAACTCATTGGTAAAACTGATGAAGATTTCCAAACCTTTGGCAGTCTGGAGCATCATTTTTGAATAATAAGGTGTTCAGTGAATCACTGTATCAGCGAGAATTTCTCTTTGGTTGTATGGGTTATCTGACGTACTCCTATAAGCCATCACAACAAGACCAGCATATTAAAAACAAGGTTTGGATTCACTAAGGATGAGCACATCCACACACTAAACAGAGACATCAAGGCACCAACGAGAAAGCTTGGTTTTGTCACATCAGCACCAGAGATGAACCCGTTGAATGTAGGATGATTGAAGGCATTGATGACTTTCTGAAATACATTGAGAAGGATGAATACACAATGCTCTACAAAGGCAATGATATTCTTTTAAAGCTGCTCTAAAACAATCAGGCAGGATAGATACAAGCCTCACATCAAGTTTTGTTCAGGCATTGTTTCAGAGATGAATTGCATGTTCAAGCTGAACGAGGATAAACAGTGAGTTTACAATCACGGACACTTTAAGATTAAGAATTGCAAATCATATCATGTTTTGGAAGCTGAAAAAGAAACAGCCACCAAAGACTATACTCTAACAGTATCTGACAAAAAATAGACTATCAAGCATTGAGAGATGGCTTCTAATGTGGCAACGTTCTTCATAATTTGATTGATATTGTCATTGTGGCATGTTACAATGTTTGGGGGCCAGTCAACCATTGCAAACGTTTGCAAGCAATTCCTGTCGCTCTTTTTCCAAGTATATAGTGTTTGATCCAGGATTCAAGATCCAAGATTCAACGTGTCTAGAAGACACTCCAATGAACAAAACAGGCAAGAAAGGTAGACGTTTCAGTGTTTATTAATGCATATTGTGTATACAAAATTATGCATCTTATACCTCATTGCTGGAGGTTGTAGGGAGACCCGGAATTGGACGTATCATGACATCTTGAATGTTCATTATGTGGTACATGTGCTGTCCCATCTACAAGCATCACCAATGAAACCCAAGAGTATGCAGTGTGGGATCTATACCGGAAAGACAAGAGACACCTTTCATGACCTCGCTACATGTGGCAGGACTAAGGAGTATTTGGTGGCGGTCAGTTCCCCTGAATTCATGACCCCTTTGGCCTGGAAACGACGAGGAACAAGAATCTACGACCGGAGCATGTCGGGCACCGCGAACTGAACGGAGCATGTCGGGCATCGCGAAGCGAACGGGGCGCTCCTGGCCTAGCCTACGTTCTGAACAAGGTTCGCTCGTCCTAACATGGTCATGCTCCAGAGGGTCAATCACATGAGCCGAACCCGACCGACCCGGTGACGGCCGCAAAACCCGGTCACTGCAAGCACAGCAGGACCTACGGACCCCTGAGCAAAAGGAGGCAAACGAATGGAAAAGCAAGGGCCTGGGACCCTGGATTTGGTGAGGGAAGAATTACTCTACCAGCATTGGAACAGGTAGCCCCATTTTTGGATTCGCACATCAGATCTGGATTCTCGGCTCGTCAAAGCGAGAATGACCAGCAAACAACCTGTGACGACCCAATAGAAGCCATTGAAACCTGCAAAGAATCTTGGTAAAGCGCCGTTTTGTCCAAATATTGTTTGTTGGAACATGCAACAATTATTTGGCATGTGTTTTTAGGCCCCGCGTATGAAGTCTTTCATCGTGGCATGTTTCCACGAGATGAACAAAACCTGGGACGATGATCACACGGTGATGCGATGGGTGGAGATCTTTGGTGTCAGTGAAGGAATGATCCAGCAGTGGCATTGCATTCTTTTTCCCAAACACTCCATGGGACTGCCAGGACGGACTGCCGCCCCAGAAAGACCCCCCTGGCACCACCACCACCCCTGGCCGTTTCTGGGTGGTCCTATACCAGTCCCAGACAGGTCGTGTTTGGGTTTAGGTTTCACACACCATTGGCTGTTTGCAACTACCAAGTCTTGGGTGCAAGCAACACGCTCGACTCGGGTCGTTCGTACCTTTGCACTTAAGGCGGAGTTTCCTGAGCGCATCGCATCAATACCTGGGTACTTGTACTCCGAAGGTCCAGGAGTACTCCGAAGATCCAAGTAAATACTTCTGTTGACTCCTTTCGTTCGCCCTTTTTTGATGAGGCAAATATACCAGTCCCAGACAGGCCATCTTTGTGCTTTGGAACAAGGACCGGAGGATGATAGAGTGGACGGCCAGTCACTGTCCGACAGACAAGTGGACTTTTGCTTGGGGGATGAGGTTCCAGTGAGACACCTAGGTAACCGTACCAAAAACTGTACGAATATCTCAGGCGGATCCATCCATTCTTCGGTTCCATCCATCCATCGATCCATCCCATAGCCTTCCAGTGAGTCTATTTTTTGCTCGAACGGAGAAGCAGCTTCGGACCTCAGTCAAGAGTCAAGACCTTCTGACAGTTTGAGTCCTGCACTCTGCCAAGACACCAATAGGAGTGTCCACCGCAATTTTGTCTTAATAAGATATTTGACTGCCAGATGGTGAGCAGAATCATTGACATGAATAGACTTTGGCCTTCGAAAAACCCAACACCTTTGAGTCCATCCTGGCCTTTGTTGACTGATTGTCCTTGTTGACTTGGTGATTCACCATGGTCCTGGTGGTCAGGTGCTTCTGCCGGCGGACCACCCCGGTGAGCACCCCGGGGAACTGACGCACCCCGCGGAGACGCACCGATGCGCCATCGCGAGGACCGATTCGCCCACCGTGACGTGGTAGCCGAGGTGACGTGAGGTCGCAGACCTATACCAAACCAGCACCAGACCTATATCTTCAATGGGGTCACCTGACTGGAAGCCCCTACACTAACTATATAAGGGACCTCCAGACAGGACACCCCGATCTGAAGGTCCAGGTAGTGGTACCCGATCCTCCTTCCATCCCAAGGAGTGCAAGTGGAGGAGCTAGGAAGTGAGATACACGAGGCGAGCTGTGCTCACGAGGCATGTTTTCGCTCGCTCGCTTGCTGAGGAAATGAACTGTACAAGAAGAAGCAGTTCAAAGAGGCCTTGGAGATGTACGACAAGGCACGAACGTACCGGTGCTACGTGCTACGGAGACCATGTCTTGCCATGGGCTCTCCCCTCACCCTCCGGGACGGTCGAACCCGCGGTGTGACCGGCGTCCCGGCCGTTCAACGCTCGGCGATGAGTTCGTCTTGGTCGAAGGCTAAGCCACTGATGTGATGCTTGAGGACAGGTGGACAGGCACCACAAAGCACCTGTGAATACCCCTACCTCATACAGTGTATATTCCTATATATTCAGGTCCTGCAATGTTTCTTTACTATTTGTTCACACATGTCACATGAATGTCTATACGGACTACATGTTTACCATGCATGTCAAAGATTATCATTTAAAAAGAAACATGTGTGCCTTTGACACGCTTTGTTTATATATCTTACGTTGATCAATGTTCAACCCCCCGATCTACTCCATAGTAATTAGTGTCTTAACTGACCACTGTTATTTTTACATGTTCTTATTTAGAGGGTTCTTGAAAGGGGTAACGGTAACCGGGGTAAGCCAAGGATTCGTTGGGACATGTGATGATTGAAGCTGAAAGAAATCATAGAATCTACGTCAAAAACCTTTGCTTTATCACGGTCCCAATGAGTCAGGAGTAAATCAGGGTCTGGTGGCTTCATCAGCTTCATCAGGGGTACATTTTACCGGCTGATTTGGCTGCGTTTGTTGGGTTTTAACATGCATTACATAATTCCATGCAGGATTTCCACCAGTCTTTGCAGAATCCGAGCTAAGAAATCAGACATAAATCAAGAAGGACTCAGGGAGTTAGGAATATGTCAAGCGAAAAATCCCAAAAGCCAGAAGCAGAACACCGACTTCAGCGTCAATATGCACAGTATTGCACAGTGTCAACTTCGGCTCTGTATTTGTTCATGTTCATGTACGTTTAGCCCAAGCATTCCGAAGCTAGGTTTCTTAAATGTTTTTAGATGTGCTTACTATCTCTATAGTCATGACACCTCTTAATGCGTTTGTTCCACTCTGATATGTTCATTGTCACGTGCTTTGTGTTCTCTCGACAGGCCATCGAGGTGGTGCCAAACGACATCACCTATCACAACAACAAGACCCTTGGCTGGGCTGGGCACATGGACGACCCAGACACATCCGAAGGAATTGGACGATCCAAACCGATGCGGAAGTAGTTGGACAAAATAGTTGTTGTTCCCATCCCAGGGGACCGGAATGAACCCCCACCAAGATCGACCTGCATTTTGTGGGATGCTTTATTGAGGTCTGTTCTGCAGCTGCGTGGCCGAGAAGCAGACCCCCAGGTGACCCTCAAGAGCTCAACATGGAGACCTCCGTCACGAGTGAGGGTAAGACAAGAAGCTCTCAGCTTGTGGGCTAGGTGTTCATTGCTGTTTTTTTCCCCAAATAGTGTGGACACACTAGGGGTTCTTACGGTAGGGGTTAAGCACCGGTGTCTTTTTGTGTTCTTTTCTGGACGTTGACTAAGAGATACTAAGATGGATTCCCTGTTGGTGAGGCAACAGTCGACCAAGTCATTTGGAAGTCATTGGTATCAAAGCCGCCTTCATTTTGGCCAGGCCAAGACCCCAAACATCTAAGTACCCAATCAAGTTAAGTTCCAATGCTGACTCGGACTAGTCTATTCCAGTCCCAGACTGGTCGTGTTTGGAGGCGACTGTCTAACAGGCTCAAGAAAGCGCACCACAAAGCACCGATCTCTTCTTGCACCCCTGCCCTGGCCATCTTGGCGCTGCGTCACGCGCCCGCAGCGCCCAGTCACCCCGAGGAATGCCGTGCTCATTGAGATGGGCGCTGAGTTCCATGGCTCAAAGTCGTGGATCCAACTGCCAGGGGAGGGCAGATTGCATTTGAATATACTCTAACATATTTGAAAAAAAAGCACGGAAGAATCTGAACCAATGATCCACGGCAAGATTTGTGTCTTTTCATGTCTTAGTCTCTTTCAAGGCCTTCTTGTTGCTTCGAAAGACCAGGGGTTCGATTGCGCATCGCTGGGACTTTATGCGAGGTGGATTTCACCTCTTTCAGCTTCACTGATGTGACTCCTTCAGTCTCTCAAGGGTCCCAGATCTGGTGGGTAATTACTATATATTCATTGTTTGTTTATATATGTGTTTCTTTTTTTTCTGGTTACCAAGTGTCACAGAACTGGAGCCAGTCTGAAGAATCCTGGAACGGTAGCCCGCCCTTTCCACCGTTGCCCAGTTGCCCCACTTCTGGGGTCTTGGCTTGTCATGATAGCTTCGCATGGCTTACACCCGTGGGAAGAGACCCACATGGAACCCTAAAATTTTCTTTGAAAAATTGTTTTCCTCTACATCTTCCAGGGGGTATCATGGCTGATCAAGGCTAGTAAAAGAGTCTGGATGGCTCGAAAAAAAGGGTGGTAAACCGTGTGAGATCTTCTTATCCAACCTTGTGAAGAGGCCTGATTCTGGCGGAGCCAGTACTGTAGACCTTTGAGTGCTCGAGGTATATGTGTTCCTCCCATTTAGAGCACTTTGGAGAGAGAGAGAGAGGAAGCTGATGTTCGTGGACGAATCCTTTTCCTTTTTAAAGGTGTTCTTCAGGGCCGGATCAATCGGGGACCACTTCTTTGTTTAGTTTCTTTTTCTTGGTTACAATATGTTACAAGGATACCTTTTGTCACAGCTGCCAGGGATCAGAAATCTTTCAGAAACAATTCTCAACAGGCCCAAGCTGATCCTGCAAACCTCATTGTGTGAGTAGTTTTTTTTGTACGACCAGCTCCAGTCAAACGAGGTCAGTTCCTGATCTGTACTATCCTTTTCAACAGACCTCCAGAACGCCTTCTCGCTGCCACCGAAGCGTCTATACGTACACGATGCTACTAGGGGCTCCTGGCATCGCTACTAGGAGCAAGGACGCTACTCGGAGCTCCTGTTATCGCAGGAGGCTGTTCGCTCTTTTTGACGTGGTCGTTTGCTCTGGAGCGGCGGATCCGTGGCTTCCGATAGCCGCTGGCCGATCGCCGAGCGCCTTGCGCCTTCTGCGGCAGGCAATATGATGCAGTGCTCAAGAGCTGTCAAGACCTTCTTGATCGGAGGTATGAGATAAACAGGCACGGACTTCATGACCGAATGGAGCGCAGCGGCCCACCTGGAGAGGGCGGAGAGGGTTGGCTGGGCGGAGGTTGGGTGGTTGGGGTGTTTGAATGACGCGAAAGCTTTAAGGCCCCTATGGAGCCTATATATTGAAAGGTCCGGATTGTTTCGGGTCAAGTACTTCCTGTTTTGTGAGAACAGTCGGATTATGGACTCTTTATCTTGGGCTCCTTCGAAAGCAGCTTCCGGAAGCTTCCCCACCACTTTCCTGGAGTGTATAGGAACAAAAGCTATTATACCCTATCAACTTGAAGCTACACAGGGCTTGACAGAATTTCTCAGGGAAGATGCCTTTGCTCAGCAATTGATGGTTGATGGAGAACTGTACCGGGGTTCATCCTAGCTGGAGTGGTTCATCGCAAAATGTGCATCACAAAAGCATTTGTGTCACCCCCGCCAAATGGTCGGATGTTAACACCAGCAGTCACAAAGGGGTCTTAATTAAACACCCCTTAGGGAGGGGCGCTTCTTTGGGCACCCCTTTGTGACTGGTAGAAAACGTGTCTATCAATGTTTGTTGGCGCTGAAGGACGGACATGCTGTGCTCAGTCGCATGGAACGAGGCGAGCTTTGCATGATCTACAGAAAAGGTGGCAACGTACGTCCTATCAAGGAGATGAACTTGAAACCTCTTGAGGCATCCAGTGTGTCTCAATTCTGGAAGGACACCTGGGCGCCCATTCTTCCTATGGAACAGTCATCACGGATCGGTTGACCAGCCCAGGTTGGACTGGTATAGGATCACCCAGAAACGGCCAGGGGTGGTTGAAAGGGGGTCTATCTGGGGCGGCATATAATATGGCAGTCCCATTAGTAGTCATTAGTCGTGTCTGGGATCTTTACTTGGGATTATATGTTTTCAAGTGAGTTGCAACCACCAACCCGGTGATTGAAATCACACGTTTCTGCACTTGCCGGACTCAATCCGTGTGGGGAGTGGGACGTGTTCTACGGCTTTGGTGATGAACTTTTGTGGACTTGCCTGACTGTGAGCAGGATCCAGGGGACTATTGATATCTATTCAATCCATGCCATTCTTTCTGAGCCGGCGGGCTTGACAGGGCTCACGTTTCCGTGACCCTTTGGCAGAGATGGACTGTGTTTAGCCGCTCCACCAAGACGTGGAGCTTACCCTTTGGGTCACCTGAAAGGACGGCCGAAGACAGGGGCGTGGAAGGTCGAAGAGCTCGGAATGCTACAGGAAGTTGGGAAGCTGTGGGTGAAGTGCTCTTCCTATGAACAGTTCACGTGCAAATGCCATTCTGAAAGTATTGACATTTATGGAAGCATCCTGAAACGATTGAAAGTTGTTCAGCATTTTTCTTGTTTTGTTGAAGGGTACCAGTGTGGCCTGCCCGCAGGGTGGCCTCCGGGTAGTGGAAGGTAGATGACCACGGCAAAGGGCTTTTTGCGTCATTGTCTACTGGCGGGGGTTAATGCTGCCGTGCTGTCAGAGTCTTGCATTGATTGGGAATCATGACTGTCCTCGGCATCACCAAGGAATATATTATGGGTGCCCCACCTCTGAATGATCTAATGCCTATGAATAGTCTACGCACCAGCCAGGTTTTGGGGGGGCACGGTACTTGGAGATCAAGACGTATCTACTATCTACTATCCCCGGGGTGATTCGCAGCACGTGAGCAGGTGCCTTGCATCAAGCAGTGTTGCCGTTTCGGGAAGGAAAATGCTCACACGCGCATGGACACGAACCCTGCCTCACTGTGTGCAGCGCAAAACCTGAGTCTGGCGGAAAACTGCTAACCGTTGTGAAGGGTAGCAGAGCATGCACTGCACAGAACATTCAGGGCCGCACAAATTTCATGAAAGGTTCACTTGCTCACTTGGTATAAATCTGCATGGTCAAACATGTGTTACGATTGGAGTTGCAGGTTTCCAACCACAATTTCAGAAGAATCTAGCGGCTGTAACCTCAGCAAGCCCCACTAAAGGAGTCACTAAAGCAGTTGAGTAAATGCCTTTAACACGTGCTTAGTTCCAGCTAATATATATATATATATGTATGTCATCCCCACTGCTACCGGCAATCTAAAATGGGTATAGCTAAACACACCTTTGTCACGTTAAACACACTTCTTGTCATTTATCATTTGAGTGTTGGAAGGAACGCTTGATCAAATCAAAAGGTTGGAAGCAATGCGTTCCAGACTCATTTAAGATAAATTTTCAAGATCTAGTTGTTGTATTGACACATTTTTGAAACAACGTGTTTTGAAGCACTTTTGACCTACTACAACCCATTCTTGAATAAAATTCTCGTGTTTAAAACTATTCTCGGTCGCAGCGGATCGTTTATGTCTATGTATGCCTATGCCCCACCACTTGAGATCACCCAACCCAGGATATTGAGATCAACCAACCCAGGATATTTCATGTGCCCTGGTGATTTCCTCCATGCCCTTGCCGCGGGACCGTTTGATGCCAGTGCCAATCCCGGCGGCGCTTCCTTCGAGAAGGTCGCCAAGGTCCACTCCCGTTGAGCCGGAGTACGCCGGAGTACAGTGGCAACATGGACAGTTTCCTTAGCTTAAGTATCTCTTCAGAAGGTATTTGTACCCTGTAAGTTCACCACTTTCTCAGAGGGCACTTGGAACCGTAAGGTTTCAAGGTGTTGAAGATGTTCTCTTCAACGGCGTGAACACTTTTCGAAGACAACTTGGTCACCGACGGTTGTGCGGACCATGGAGGTTGCAAAGACTGCAACAACTTCGGGCCATCACCACCTTCAATTCACCAATCCCGCCGCAGATGCCAATCCTTGAACCATAAAAACCTTGGGATGTGCGACCTGGGACATCTTCCGAAAGCCATGTCTTCTTGGTGGGAAAAACCAGGTCTTTGATAGTAGGTGTGATTCTCGCTATGCTCATGTCTGTCCTTCTCCAACATTTGCACTGGCCAAGCAATGGAACGGTGTGAAGTTTGGGGAGATCTTTCTTCCTGGGTGAACATCCCGCCATAAAAGGTTGGTGGTGTTTGGGGGCTGCGCGCTTCAAGCCTAAGCGCGGTGCAAGCTCGACAAGAGAGGGATTCGTTGGAACGAAACTCCACTCGAACCAAGCCTATACCCATCCAGTGAACCACCTGTCACTTTTCTTGGGAATTGGCCTCCCCACCCCCAATACGGTCAAAAAGAGAGGTGAGACCTTAATTATTGTTCCTGCAAAGCCACGGGGGTCCATATATTTCGGGTTTGTCCATGTTTGTCCTATCACCTGTAGAGCAGTCATGTAAACACAAACGTCAGTTTGAACTGTCGGCCCGCAACCAGGTCCCATCATCGAAAAGGGGCCCTGGTAATTGGATGGACCCTAAACACATTTACCCCTATGACTCATCCATCCCTAGGGCTCCAAGCATCTCCTTAGGTGGTGCTCAAGTATACGAGTAACACAAATCGCTCCATACCTATAGCGATGGCCAAATAAGCTCCACCTACTCCGAGCTCAACCACCCTCCCGGCTTCGGTCCCCGCTCAACCTACTCAGATCGTCTAGGCGGGGTCCTATACGTCCGACCGAACCGTTCGGTGGTGGATCGGTCGCGCGACGTGGATCGGTCACAGGTCTTTCAGAGAATGGCCTCTGTGTACGAAAAGCAGCAGAAGTCGAGACCTCGGAGTGCTCGATCTGCCGTGCGGATGCACGGAGGCAGGCGAATCCACTACTACCAGGAGCCTCCTGGACAGGCTCTTTGGAGACCCTAACAGGTGGTGAACCTGGGCACCTGTTGTGTACCAGCACCCTCCAACAAGTGCTTCCTGGTGGACAACAGGTGCCCAGAAACCACCTGTTAGGGTCTCCAAAGAGCCTGTTGGAGGGTCCTGGTACGTGGATGTCCACCCTTGTTTCAGCTGGAGCAGTGTCTCATTTTGAACCTGAGACTTGAAATCACTTGCCGAGGGCTCTAGCCATGAGCCGCCGAAACGAGACCAGTGATCAGCATGTGTGTTCACATTCCATAAATATGTGATTTTGAAGGATGTTGGTTTCCAAGATCCTCCTTTCAAGCCTTTGTTGTTGTGTCGGAGGTTCTTTGTTTGGGATAGTTGTATATGTTGTCTTTAACTGCAACCTTATTTCACGGATCATTATTCCTATTTAACCCTCGGTGTGCGTAGGGCCGATGTGCAAGAAAAGAGGGTACGAATAACTGACACCAACCTCACAGACCAACATGTTTGGGCCTTCTGAGGGTTCACCGTCTTGTATGTCTAGATCCGCGGCGGGTGAGGACTCCGCCTACGACAAGATCCGTTCCCAGGGCATCCAGGCAACCCACTATTTGTAGGGATCCACATGCCTTCTCAGGAGGTACTTGGGCCCTCCAAGCCTACATAAATAGTCTCCAATCACCGTACCTGAGAAGGTACTTGGATCCATAGCCCAGGGCATCCAGTTACCGCTATAGCTGGTAACCAGTGGTTCCAAAGACTAAAACCATAGACCTAGAATCCCTGGTTCCTTATATATAGTGGTAACTGGGATCCACTGGGTAGGGTATAGCTGGTCACCAGTACGTTCCAGTGCGACTCAAACTATATATAGACCGGTTCCAAGGGCCCCGATCCTTCGTACTCGTGGATCCGGGATCCACAACAGTTTTGACCTCCAGTTATCGGATTTCAATGGATTTCAGCTTGGAGTATATATACCCAGACACTCGATGTATGCCATATATGCCGCCCCATAGACCCCCCCTCAGTCCCAGACAGGTCGTGTTTGGGATATATACCCAGAACACTGAACACGTCGAAAACCATGCAGTCCGCCAGTCCCCACCGGGTGGGACCGACCGACCCCGTGTGGCCGTTTCTCGACCGTCTCGACGGTCTCGAGAGCGAAGGATCCACGGATCCACCGAAGGCGTCCTTGGCCCCTTGCCATCAAGGACCGTCCTCACCGACCTGGTTCGGCAGTGGATCCAGGAAAGAGAACCACCCGACCATTCCATGGGCCCCGACTGGACCCGCTGGCCTCCCACAGAGTGCACGTTGCCTCGATGTCTCTCAAGGGGTTACAAACGGGACCTTATATTCTGAAACATGCCCTGGTTGAGATGGTCGACCTATGAGAATGGCTTGAAAAAACACGGGTTGTTTGCTTCGCAGACATGGTGCTAGCGTTGTGGCCAGCTTGAGGTACGATGATGCCATCACCATGTACAATAAGGCCCCGAGCTGCGCGCGCAGTACGTACTGCTCCGCGAGCTGCGCGCGAAGTACTTCCTCCAATCGATGTGGAGAAACAGCTAGGAAGCGCCAGAAGTGACACACTCCCTGAAACAAACATGGAAGTGGACCATTCCCTGCTTGTAGTGAAGGACAATAGTGACTTCGCTGTTCGTGACTTCGCTGTTCGTCTCTGACTCAGTGACATCAGCATCCGATCTCAAGTGGCGTCATGAACGGCTCAGGACCTGGTTACTAGGTTTGGAATAGGGGTTTTCCATTTTATAGCCCGTATATATTTATAAAATGCAAAATCCAGGTGCCCATGGCCTTTGTAACCACTATGGTTTGGAATGACTTGGACATCGGAGTTCCTCGTGAATCGGCTTGATCGACTGCTTCACCCCCTGTCGGGGTGCGAAACCTAGAGCTTGGATCCCAGACACTCCATGGGACTGCCATATATGCCGCCCCATTGACCCCCCTGGCACCACCCCAATGTAGGTAAATATACCATGCATGGAGTGTTTGGGGATGAAACGTGTGTTTTTTGGGGGGGTTCTTCCAAGTGACTATCTTCATCCCCTGGTTTGACCCTAGGTCAGCCTGGCTGACTTTGGGTCGGATGGGCCTGGAACCAGGCCGTCGCCAAGAAGGACTGATTATGGTTGTGGTGACCAAGAAGCTGGTCTCTACATGGACCCTCCAAAGGGTGTCCTGGCTGGACTACCCCACACTACCGGCCGTTCGGCTTCCAGACAGGGCATCCCTTGGAGGGTCCTGGTGCATGGTCATGTCTTTGAGAAGCTGGTGATCCGGAAGTGATGTGCCTGCGCCAGGCATTGACCGAGGATAACAATCGCAGCGTGCGCAACGCGCTTCGGGCTCCTTGGTCAATGTCGGAGTTCCTTCTTCGGTGGTGCGGAGTCGGAGTCGGATGCAAATGGCGGGAAGAGGACCTGTGCTTGGAAGTTCCTGCAGCGGAAGTCGGCCTGCAGAAAGCACTTGGATTTGTTGCTTTTGCGACGTTTTGCTTGATATTCGAGCGACATTGACGAATCGGTTCCTTCTGAAGAATGTGCTTTACATGTTCCGGTAGCTTGAGCAAATACAACTGATACAGGTTGGTAATCCTTAATTAATATATAAAAATGAACAACCATAGAATTCCTTTCGGGGTCCCAGCCGTCATGTTGTCCGACAATGACCATTGGTTGCTCGAAAAGACTTACAGATCTGTGGGTTTCTTTGGGAAGTAGGATCCAGTGCGAGAGAGAGAGAGAGAGGGAGGGAGACGTTACTGACTGCCAGCTTGTTTTCTTGGGGATCCATTGCCTGCAAGTACTTATTGACACAGGACCCCGAGTACAATAGTTTGTTCACTACATGTCATACGTGATTTGTGGAGAGTCACTTCCATGTTCACTTGATCTGAAATTGGCAGAGAAATAGAATCAACTTCCAAGACAAGACCTTAAAACTATCATGCACATACCAGGGCCGACAAGGGTGCTTAATGGACACTCCTTCACGGGGCTATTAATCGACCCCCTAAGGGGTCCCTGGTATTTGTCATGTCAATTTGCTCTGGTTGCTAAGCTGTACCAAGTTCGTCCCAACTCCTATCAGTGATTTGATATACTGCATGATTGAAGTGTCACTTTGCAGCCTCACTCTAATCCATGCTAATTCAGCCTGAACATCATGGAACTCGGAGTCAGAGAACACATCTCAGCCAGTGCAGTTGCAAGGGACCTTTCCGGCCGCAGCCACGAAAGGCCTCGCGTCCTCGCGGTGCGATGTCCCGAGGAGTGCGAACGAGCCAAAGAGAAGCATGAGAAAGATGCCTACTTGGACCCTGCTAAGGTGGGTGGGTTCTTTTTCTTTCGTGTTCTTTTCCCAAACGGATGCGGGAGCGGATGCGGGAGCAGATACGGAGCGGAGAGAGGTTGGAGAGGTTGGAAGGATGGTTGGGTTTTGCGGGGGAGTCAGCCGTTCACGTTCACTCGATGGGAAATGGCTGGAGTGCGGAAAATGGCATACCATGGAGGACCAAAGAGGAATACAAGCACCAAGCGCTACCCCACTTGGCGGTTTGACACCGATTGCTGATCATTCACGGCGAACCAGGCTTCTTTGGATGTATCGTTAGCATTTGTTGAGGACAGTTGACTCCTATAGAGGCAGCCCACAAGGAAGGGGACAGCTTGACATTCCCCAATCCGTGGATGTTTTTGCTCCAAGACTGCTACCCCAAGACTGCTACCCCCCAGTGATATAGCCTTCTTGAGGGTTTGGGAAAGATTTTATGGAGTATGCACTTATAATATCTAACAGGTGGAATATGAAACACATATGATTGCCTATAATATGGTGTCCTTTTGACATGTACAACATGCTATCCAGTGTTGAAATTCATGGGCACAATGAAGCAGCAACAGCAATCACTTTGCACACTACCAGTGCATTTGTTTCGAAGTAGACTCAGTTAAAGACAATTAAACATAAGTATACTCATCAACATACATCAACTTCCTAATTGGAATTCCCCCAACAATCTTCGATTCCTCTCCGATGGGAAAACCATTCTTCCAACAGGCAGAGGAGCATCGAGAGAAGGGCAATGAGCTGTTCAAGGCGTGACCGAAGCGGTGCCTCACGTGACCGGCTGGCTTCCGTGACCGGCGTGAGCTTCCGCAAGAGAAGTGGATTGCCTGCTCAGGGCGTGGCTTCTATTTTTTTGCGGGGGCATCCCCACTCCGCAAGAATACAAGAACAGGCCAGGCGGTCTCAAGGGTATATACCTTTTCCATCCTTTTCCTATTGGTCCTCGTCCAGTCGGTCCTGAAAACCTCATCACCAAGTCATAAATCATACCAAATCCAAGTAAAAAGACAATGAGGTCAGCTCCTGACCTGTCTTTGGGGTTGATCTAGCGGTTTGTGTGTTTGTTCCTTTCTATTTGTTCGCCCGCTCTAGCGGGTTCATTGGATGGGGAGATGAGGGCCGGAGCATGTTTCGGAGTAGGAATCAGAAGGTCTTTTGGACCAACAAGAACCACAGAGGCATTGGATCATCCACCTCGCACCGGGTCCAGGGATAAGGTCCAGGAGGATTGGACCTCAATTGGTTTGGTCAGTTGGGAGGCCCCAAATCGGGGATTGGTCGGGGGCGACCTGCGTCACCCGACCAAAAACGAAGCGATCATCGTCCTCATGTGCCCACCCCCATCCGAGGCGCCTTGAGGTCACCAGTTTGGTGAAGCAAACGGACCGTGTAATGAGGGATTGACGAGGAAAGAATAGGAAAGACATGTTTGGCGGATCAAGTGATGTTTGTTCTATTTTGCTCCTTTTCCCGGGTAAATCCGCTTCTGTGATCTAGTATTTCCTTCGTTCTTTAAGCAAGTCAAAGCATAGATCACCAGTTGAGAGGCAGACAGAAGTTTTGCCAGTGTTGGTTTTCTTTCAACCGTGAGCAAACATGTTGTCAGAGGCTTTGTCATATTTTTAGAGAGCAGCCCAAATCATGGAAACAAACCAATGTGTATAGTTGAAGCGTATTGAAGGCGTTGTTTGTGTATATGCTGAACATTTGCTTGCCGCCAAGTTTATTTCAAAGCTGAATCCATGCATGGAAGGCTCCTTTCGAAAGGAAGGCAATGCCGCTCAAAGATGAGCCAGTCCAGAGGAGTTGCCAAGGCAATGCCACGAAAGAACAATACCACCAAATCGAGTCCCAGTCCTCAGGAGTTGCTGGCTGCAGTGCTGTATGTCAAGAAGGATCCAGGACCTCAGAAATCGGCAGGCCGATTTCCAGCAGGTCACTCCTTACACCCATTCAAGCGGGCAGCAGGACGACGAACCAGAGATATATCTTCAAAGATCCACCTTCCAACCTCTTCCGCTTTCGAATCTCTGAAACCGCCTCCCCTAACGCGGTCGAAGTCGATATTGGAAGCTCCGCGCGCTCCGCGGGCCATGGCCGCCTGGCATCGCCCCTGGGAGAGCGCCCGAGACCGTTCAGCCTTCGCCTTGGGCTCCTTGGGACCGGATAAAGAGGGGAACGTGTGGGGGGCGCCTGCCAGGTGAGGGAGGCACAGCAAGAAACCCTGGCAGGTGAGCTGTTTTTGGACGATTTGGGATGCGCCGCAATGAGATGTCTTGCCTTGTCTTGCAATATATGGTCTTTTGGGGGGAACGACCAACGGCATCATATACCTAGACCCAACTTTGGTCGTACCTGAGTCGTACCTTGGAAAATGGGACATGACCCGAACAAAAAGCAGGTACGCTAACGGCACTTGTACTACTAGAGTAATAAGTGCATTACTACTAGTAACAAATTGCACAATATAGCTACGTAAGTAGCTGCTTGCTACTAGTAGTATTGCACTTGTTACTAGTAATTTTCAGAGGTACCAGGTCGACTCCAGGTATGGAATCTTTGCCTACATGGACGATTGCTTTGATGTTTCAATGCAAGATATTCCACCCACAGAGTTGTTGGATGACTCAGCTGGCGATGAGTCGAAACCTGGAACGACCGAACTTCCATCTCCCTAGGGATCCGGTCGTACCTTCTCAGGAGGTGCGACTGGACCCTCCAAGCCTACATAACAGTGCCTCCAATCACCTTCTGAGAAGGTACGACTGGATCCCTAGGGTCTATAGGTCAACATCAAGAAATCGTGGTGCGACCCAAAGGCCAGATCGGTGCATCACGGTCGTCTTCGGAAGACGACCGTGCTTGGCGCACCCCCTCCTCGACGCCGCCTTCCGTGAGAAGCCGAGGCTTTGGTCCTGCCTTGGTCACGGATGTCTTCATGGAGCTCTCCAGGAGCCGAGAGAGTTCGGTTTCCCGGGACCCCGTGCGCTGTTCACCTGTTCGCTTCCCCCAACATCAGCTGTTTGGGACTGCCGGACTGCTGAGAAGATTCACCAGGGGTGGTTTATAATATTATGGGGGTTATACCAACAATATAGTCAATAACAGTCAACAGAATGTATTACCAGCCAGTCACTTGACATATTAGCAACAATATTACAATATAGTCAATATAACATCATTTGTTCATTAATCAACAAATTAGTTGTTCATTTAACATATTAGCAACAATATTTTATTGTTTATTTGATGATTCAAAACAATGTATTTTACCAGCAGTCACTGGTCGCTCGCTCGGGGCGCCGAAAGAACGGAGCTCGGACCGGGGTGCGAGTGCGGACATCGGGACGAGCCACAGCACCCCCGAGAGCGACCAGTGACTCCTACACCGATGTTTGGGAACCCAAACACTCCATGTAACTGCCATATATGCCTATACATTCAGATGGTGGTGGTTTGGGGGGGTCTGGCTGGGGCGGCAGTCCGGCAGTCCCATGGAGTCTATGGGGTGGTTTTTTTTCTATTTCAGAAGATCACCTTCGTAGGTCCGGATGGGAGTTGGAAACCCCACGGTGCCGTCCATCGTCCACTGAGCGGAATCGGTCCGTTATTCCCCATAGACCGTCAACTGAGGAGTTAGACCGGTAGTGAGCGCAGAAGGAAGCCTTTAACAGACACTCTGCAGTACTTGGATGGACACAGGATGTTTCAGAACTGCCTTACTTCTGAGCTTGCAGGTGATTTTCTATAGCCATTTGATATCTCAGGCACAGGCCTTTTGTCAACTCTTCCACTATCAAATAGCAAGGCTGCCCCTTTTTTGTGGTGTTCAAGAACTGGCGAATGGCTCGGGACCTTTTTGTAGACTCATGTTGTTTCATCGAGATTTGGGTGCTCCAAGATCTCCAAGATCTCCTTGTGTTGACTGCCCACTGCAGTCATTTTTCTCCATAAGAACTGGCTCTGCAGGCGACCCGCGGCAAAGAGTAACTCCCAACAGGCTTTAGCTTCGCTCCACGCTCGCAAAAAACACACACCGGACACCACCTATACACGCCACCCAAACTCTGCCAAGATCCATCGTTCGGATCCAGACTGAACTGCTCCTGCTCCTCGTGAGGACCTTCCTGCTCGCTTTACAGCAGGGCTTGGTGGAGAACCCGCCAGCTTACAGCTCGGAGGCCACGATCCGTCCAGGTGCGTCGGCATCAGGGAGGAGTCCCATCTAGTGACCTTTGCGTTTGGCATGTGACCGTGACCTCAAGGGATTCAAGTTCGGTCACCGGGAAGATCCAGGTGGCTCTTTGATTGGTGTAGAGAAGCCTACTTCCAAGAACTGTATCCATAGAAAGAAAGGGAAGAAGAAGAGGCAGACAGGAAGCTTCAGCATACTGTTGACAAGCAAACGATGGCCGCTGTTCACAGTGGCTGTGTGTTACAGGGATCAAAGCCATCTTGGAGGTACAGCTCAGTGGGCCAAGTGCTACTGCTGAGCTGACATGAGTAGATAGAACCACATTTGACCTCATTTTTGCTCCAAAGCAGGGGTCCCTCAGGTTCTATACTACTGATCTCATTGATGTTGGTCCGGGGGGAAAGAGAAAAGCTAAGCTCCCCGTCAAAAAATATGTGCATGTATTTGTATGAATTTAGCTCTTAGCTATTTTGCTTCTATTCAGTCTCGGATCACTTGCTTCATTGTTCTCTTTGTTTCCATTGGTCTATTTTCTGCCTTGCTGACTGAGGTGACCTTTACTATCTCCACCAACTGCTGCACAGTTTCCATGATCGGGCCATGCAAGTGGTTGCCGCCTTAGGAGCCAAGGCTGAAGGCCTGCTCTTCGCAAACTGGAGAGCCACAGCCGCTGGGCTCAGGGCGTCTGTCCGGCCGATTCTCCGCACGAAAGGACTGGAATCTATCCCAGACACAACCTGTCTGGGACTGGTATATTGACCGATCAGGCCAGGGGTGGTTGTTTATGGGTCTATATATGGGGCGGCATATATGGCAGCCCCATTAGTCGTGTCTGGGTATGCCCTCCCCGTTGACCCCGTTGACGTAGTCCTTTACGATCGCTTCTGAGTTGGCCCCTCCCTGATTTTTCGTCTATCCACGTCATGGCAAACCGCAATTTGCACGGATGGCACTGATGTTGCTGGATGTTTGCATTTAGGGTCTCGTCGAGTTTCAGCCCCAAGCTACCCGCAGGTCGTACCACAAGAGAATTGTTTTGACCATGCTGGATCGGCATGCATTCCACAATGAGTTATGGGACCAGAGGATCTTACGATTTGGTTTTTAACATTACATTCTAACAGTATAGCATGGAAGACGTTTTCTTCTTTAACACATAACAACATAACATAGTTTAACACACACACACACACATAGCATGGAAGACTTTTGTTTACACATAACAACATAACATATGTTAACATAACAACAAAAAAGTACATTTCGTGATGAACAGGATCCAATGCATAGCATTCAGGATTCAAGGGTTTTTTGGCTTCTTAGTGTTGGTTATTTTGAACTCTAGTGCATTCCCCCATGAGCTGTCCGGCTCAAGCCGGCTCAGCTATGGATCTTGGGTAGATGAGCTCTTCCAGGAGGGCGCTCCTCGCTCATTATTAAGTGGCATTATTTAAATTCATCATTCAACGCTTTCAAATATAAGTTGATTCTATGCAGAGACTAAGGTTTTTGGCAAGTCTTTCTCCTTTAAAGGGAGCAGAGGCATTGAAGATTGGCACGTCCGATGAGACAGATGCTGATGCATCATCATCGAAGCCCAGTAGAGTGTCCTTTCTGAAGGCCTTGGCCACAGAGAAGGAAGAACCTGAACAATCTGCGAGGATTGGTTCAGATACGATTGATTTCAACTTGGAGGGCATTATTGAGTTCAGAGAGCAGCAGCTGGTTCACACGGCAGATAGGCCCCCAGATGAGAAACATCGAAAAAGACCCAACTACGACTCCAAGAAGCGCAAGATGTTGAGCAAAATCCCAAAAGAAAGGAAAGGGTACCTGAGATTAGTAGGATTGTGTGCCAATTGAACAATGACAATGTTTTGTTGCCAGAACTATAACAATTTGATTTTTTACCACGTGCCAAGGCAAACCTCCAATGGAGGAAGCGAGAGGAGAGTGACTTCTCTCATCAAATCAGCGTGCAGGTGCAAGAAAGGTGATTGCTTTCAGCAATTCCAGCAGTGTGTGCGTCAACTGATCCAATATCTTGTAATCTTCTGGTCCTTTCGGAAGACCCTTCAAGATGCATATGTCCAAACCTCAATCAGATCCGTTCTTATGCATGTCACACATTCTTAGTGAATACTCCATGATTCCAGGGCTTTCCTTGGTACTTTGCCTGCTAAGATCCACTGGGTCACTCGTGGGAAGTCCAAGAGCTACAGAACCTGGACACTTCTTGGCAAGCACATGGCTATGAGGTGCGCATTGGTCATGCTCGGGATTGGAAGTGACAGACTGCATAGAACCCGTCATGGAATGTTGGATAGACGATTCAGGTGCTTTGGTGCAACTTGACTCCCAGTCTCGAATGACATTAAAGAGTGGTCTTATGTGTTCATCATGTGTTCACTAAAGTCTATATCATGTCTTGAAATAAGGCAAAAAGGACTCCGAGCAGGAAGCAAATGAGAGTGGACAATCATTTTTTGCGACTGTACCAAGATGCAGCTGGGATGCTCCCAAACAAGCGCCTTGATACGATGAACCCTAATTAAGAATCAGTCGCGTTGATTTTAAACATCCGACGAGGAGAAACTCTCAGTCATTTATGGACCAGTCACACCGCAGGACGATGACTGCAGCAGCAGCAGCAGCAGCTCTGACAGCAACAACAGGGATGACATTGGGTTTGCTGACGAGAGTGAGCGCCTTGAAGATGACGAAGAGTTACGCCTTCATATTCTCGGGTCCCGATCCCTCTTTTCCAAGTGGAAGACTTACTGTAACTTGCTCCCCATCATTGTCAATGACAGTAAGTGTATCACAGTGACTGTGTGACAGTCAGTCTGAGAGTTTCAGATGTAACAGCTGATTTCAGGTGGATAGAGACTAACGCTGCCCGGCGAACCTGTGATTTACCTACTCGACACTTACCCCCGGGGAGCATCCGGATGCTCTTCTATGAGTTCTGCCAGCAGCATCCACACTGCAAAGTGTCGTGCTTTGGCAAGCAATGCAGAATCAACCTGAGGACTGTGGAAGACAAGACAATGATTAAACATGATCATCATGAAAGAATTTTGAACTCAGGTATTCAACATTCTGGCGGCGATACAATCTGAAGTGGCAGCCGATCTTACGCTTTTTACCCCCATCTTCACATGGAAGCTGCGACTCCTGCATTGACTTCAAGGAATCTTTCCGTCGAGCGCATGATGCTCGGCAATGATGTTGGCGGGCTGATTGAATCAGTGGACATTTCTTCAGACAGCAAATCACATACACATGTCCTCTAGATAAAGACCTTGAGGATGCGCAGCAACGGTATGACATTGCACAGTCATACAAGAGACATCTTGACGCTGTTGGAAAAGACCGGCAGTTGGAAGAATACCTTCAGGCCAGGCTGACATAATAATAGCGAGCATTTTTTAAAGCACAGTTGCAGAAGCAGCACTTAGTGGCGGTCCGTCGCCAGGGTATGTCACCCCTGGAAAGCGACCATGACATCCTGTCCCTGACATGGGTACCTTGGATGCACGTCTCAGGATGGTTGGTAACTGGGCTGGGGTGGTTGCAGGTAGCAGTATAACAGATTGGAATCAATCATGATGGAATATATAAGGACGGGATGGACCAAGCCAAATGGGCTTGTCCAAGGGACAGGCTGATACAACGATCAAAGGAGGCAAATGGACTCCTCCGACCGAGGATGAAGGTGCAGGCAGTATGGATACACGGGATAGCACTAAACCTTTATCTTGTGCATCCTTGTATCCCAGCGGACAGCTCGCTTGTAATCGAATGCTTTCAGAAGGCTCTTCAGGACTGCATCGACAGGTTTGAATCCCTGGGTCAGCCCTTGCCTAGCACTTGCTTCGCATGGGTTTCTTGATTGCACTGTTGGGGGGGCAGGAAGCACATGGCAGTAGCAGCGGGATTTCTTGCATTGCACAGCACGGGGTGTAGTGTTACTGGAGGCTGATAATACTGTGCGGGAGAACAAAAACAATCCATGCCTCAAGCATCTCGCGGCATTGGTGGGAAGATCTAAAATGAAGTGCACGGGTTTCTGCTTCAGCCGGTGCGGACACACGCACAATGCCTTGGGATTCTTGCTTTTGATTGGCCTTGGATTGTGTTTTCCAGCTGTTAGCTCTTGGACCATTTTTGTTTTCTTTGGGTGGGGTGATCTAAGATCAAGTCTTCGGACTGATCGCAAAAAGCATCAAGTTTGTGGACCTGATGTGTGATCCGCCCGACTTGGTTATGAACCTTGCATGCGCTTAGGACCTGCAGGAGGGTTCCTTTTAAATAAACCAGGACAATGGGGTCATGTTGCACTTAGGAAACTCAAACATATCCTGGAAAGAATCCGTATTCGACAGTGGATCGGGGAGAAAGCACGGATCAATGTTGAGTATGTCACCTCTTGTCGTGATTGGAAAGCCTGGTTTCTCGGCAGCACAACCACTTCCGGTGTTCCCAACCCAGCTGCCCCTTGCCATTTTTTTCTCCGCGTCAGGTATGATCAACTTCCGGTGCAGTTCAAGGGAGGCCTCAAAACGGATTCAAGCGGAATTCATTCCTTCGTCTTCCTAGCAAGAAGAGGCTAGCCAATAGTTGAACTGTGACTCTGCTTTGAATGCCTTTCCTGACTGAAACCTATATTCTTTCCTGAACAGACATCCCGAGAAATCTCCGAGTGGTGGAAGATGTACGTGGCAATCTCCAAAGTCACGAACTGGATGTGATTTGCATGGTGAAGAGATATGCATCAAATGACTGCCTCGAACAGGATCTTTGTTTAATTGTCAGTTTGCTTAAGTTTCAATACTGAAAGAAACATACTTATACATGAATGAATATATTATGCAGAACACTTTGTTGCACAAATCATGCGCAGGATGTGTAAAAAAAGATTGTGTGGGGCCAAATGGGTGGGTGACTGCCTGTGACTGCTTGCCTCCAAACCCATGCAGAACCTTTACTAAAAAACATGGAATCCTGATTGAGTTGAACTGACACCTGAACACCATGAAATCTACTTAAAAACAACAACAAAACACACAAAAAAAATATTGTGTGTTTTTATTCAAATACAACACATGTTAACACAGAACAAAAACACACACAGACCCCACGCAACTCAATTCTCCGTTCGATATATCACGATCCGGACCTGTCGTCCGTTGCCCGTCTTTTGGTTCGCTACTTCGCCATGATGTATTTGGGCAAAGGACGTATCCAGAGAGCTAGGAATGGATGTTTAAAAAACGTTGCTCACAGCACATGGATTTGGGCACGACTTGCAGCAAGCACAAGTGGTGGAGAATGCAATATATGGATATTTGCCGCATCGATTCTGCATTGTTCTTCTGTGTTCAATACAACTGACGAATCCAAGAAAAGAACACCGCCAAATTTTAAGTGCAACCTTCTTTTTGGTTGACTCGGCTTCTCGTTCCTTGTGACGACAAGGCCATGCTGCTGGGCTTGCTGATGGCTGCTCGGAAATTGATGGCTTTTCGAGCTGAAGAAAACCTTCTCACGCTCTTTCTCCTTAGCTTGGCCCAACAAGCGGAGTACCTAACCCCAAAAGACGGCGGACATGACCCGGAAAGCAGAAAGACACATCCACTGGACTGGATATCCTATTCCCGGCAGACTCATGGTGTGCGTTGTGCGCGTTGAGCGCGTGGCGCCAGACATCGACGCCAGACATCGACTCGACCGCCGCAACGGGGTTTTGCAGGGACAGACGAAGTCGGAGGGTCGTTGCAGAAGTCACCGAACTCAGGGTCTATCACGAAGTATTCCAAAGATAACCTGTCTATAGACCCTTTATGCTGCGTATTCCTAAAAATAATAGTCAAGTAGAGTCAAGCACCTTACCCCATGTTTATAGGGTCGTGGTAGTGGTCATGGTACTTTGGAGGGTACAGGTAGACGCTCGCTCTTTCAAGAATCATGGATGCTTTGGACATGCTTGGCACCTGACGACTTGGATGACCAAAGAGGTGGCTGTTCACTCCACTTCCATGATTGGTTCAAGGAGTGTAGAGCGGAACTCCAGGGCAACCTTTCAGACTTCTTCAGTTGAGCCCAACAGCTTGAAGGGAACACACGGACTTTTCGAGAAACCGCCGGTGCATCGATCTGCGAACAGCTTGGTTGGAGCCAGTTCCCAAATCATGAGCTTCACGAGTTTCATGAACAGGGTTTAGGCGGTTTAAGGATTAAGGTTTCGGGCATGAGATTCATTTGGTTTAGGGTTGAGGGCATGAAATTCATGCGTTGTGATTGTGTTGTTGTTTTTTGCTCTTTAATCAATCTTTTCTCATGTTCACTTGGCAAAATCCAAGCAATGTCACGACCGGGAAACCCGGTCCCAAGCAGAAACAAATGGATGTTTTCCCCAGCCCCAACCACTTGCTATGTAAAAGATCTCACTTGCATTCACTTGCCATATACTCTTTCTGGTTGGGACTGGGGTTTGAGGTACTACTGCCGATCTCATTCACGAAACACCGGGCCTCCTGCCACGATGGACTGGATCTGCGCGAGGTGAAGCCACAATAGCTTGCCCCAGTGGTTCCCCACTTCTCAAGAGCACAAAGACCACAACGAACTTGTTGAGAACTCGTGTGGCCAAATTGGAAGCTCTTCATCCATTCGTTGGAACTCTTGATGTCGAGACGGCTCCTCGGGCTCCTTCGTCCCCTGCAGTGCAAAACGATAGGATGTGGCAACCCCCAACAAAGGACCTGCGTGGAAACCTCTAGATGAACAGGCGTAGTAGTCCGGTGAAACCAACGGGGCGTGGTGTTTCCACCGTGGCGTCGCGTCGTGGTGTCGCGTCAAAACAGGTGGTCCACATGACCTTCGCTTCGGCCTACACCCAGCTGGCGGCGGGAGAAAACCTGGGAGACCTGGTCGCCAGGGAGGGTGACTGGAGGCACTGCCAGGCAGAGCTTTTTGCTTCTTCGCGAATCCGTGGGAGGAAGGATATGGAAGGATGAGGAAGGGAGCTGCGAAGCGCTTGCTTTTGGGCACTTACGAAGTGTGGTACGGCATGGCGGTGTGCAGGGCATTTGGTGTCTGGGAGGGAGGGGCTTCGAAGTCCGAGGTGAAAAAGGGTGTAAGCCAAGTGCGACCTGGCACCAGGCACAATTACGTGAGTGACATGCTGTTTGCGGAGCTGTGCCGCCTTTGAGGCCCAAAATCATGGCGTTTTCCCACTAAGCAGGTGTCTTGAGACAACACAAGCGTAGAAGCGGGCACATGAAAATAGATCTTCTTGATGTGGCATATGTGGCTGCTTGTAGCGTCAAAGGACTCTTCTCGCTGCGTAGTGGGACAGCAGATGTCGACATGTGGTGTTCCCCACGACTGGTCGTCATTCTAAATCCAGCCTCAACAGTCTCAGTCAGCAATCCCCCGCGAAAGAAGAGATGACCTCCAAAAGCCTCCGGATTTTCCTTTTAACTTGATGGATCGATCTGTTGTATTCACCGTATTCACTTCCAGCCACTCTTCCTTCGGAAAAGCCCAGGAGAAAGGAATTAACAATTACGGTTTTACACTGCCACCCCAAGATGTCCTGTAGATGGGGGTCCACATAAACCACCAAACTTGGGGATTGTGCCATCGAGCCTCTGAAACCACTGTAAATGTCCTATTCACGGACCCAATGGTCAAAAACCGCCTCATCGCGTGCCTTTTTTGTTGCGTGCCGCGTGTGCCTCTACAAAGCTTGCCGCGTGCCTCGGGCTCGCCTATCCTTGCGTTCTGCCAGTCCAACACCATTGTCAACCTTGAGCTGCTGGACACCCCGTATGCCCGGCCGCCCGACGTGGAGGCAGAGGACTCGAACGGCACGGAGGCCCGCGCGGCTCGCCAAACGCGCGGCCCCAGGAGCGCGAGCGAGCGAATGGGACAGTGAGAGAGAGTCGCGCTGGAGTGGGGTCAGCCAGGTGGGGGAGCAGATTTGTGTTTTTTCCTAATGGATGGTGGTTTGATTCATGGTGGTGATGTGGTGAGATTGGTATAGAAACCCAGTGGGCTTCAGAAAAGCCTTGAGGGAGTGTTGATTTTGAGTGCTGCTTTGGCTGACTGACTGAACTAATAGCAGAAAGTAGTCCAGTGAATGACAAAAACCGAGCCGTCACAAAGCAGCTGATTGCTTTCGCGAGACCAGCTTACCAACTTGAAACTTACCGGAAAAAAAGGCGCTTGGTGTGGCAGTTTGAGAGTGGATCCCAAGGTCTCCCAAAGGTCTCCCAAAAGGCTAACCCTTGATTGCAATGCACTGACACCAGAATGAAATTGACTTCACTCATGTTCACTCTATTTTTGGAATTGGTGTCCCCCACTAAACATACTAAACAAGAACAGGTGTTTAAATTGCTAGCTTATCACAAATGTTCAAGGGGGTTTAACTAAACGGTTTAACGGTGGAAGAGTCGATCCTACACTGGGTCCTCTAGACTCGCTCGCGCAGGTGAACACGGGTTCCGCGCGCCTGCGAACGATGATGAACAGGGTCTACGACTATGCGAATCCCAGGCGATGTTGGAGACGTCGGGCTTTGAGGGAAGAGGGACATCCGGAGAACGAACAGCCATCTGGACCCGGCAGACCCTTTGTACCCGAACGCAAATGTACGCATGACCCTATATATACCCTAGGGATCCAGTCGTGCCTTCTCAGGTACGGTGATTGGAGACTTAGGCTTGGAGGGCCCAAGTACCTTCTGAGAAGGTATGTGGATCCCAATAGATACATGGGTGTCTAAGACTACCCCCTTTTTTAGCGGAGTACATACTTCGAGGGTCCAGCCACACTTTTCACCTCAGTAACTGAGATCAGGTCTGTGTGAATTGGTCAAACCAGAAGAACATTTTAAGATTCCAGCCATCAACAGCCAAGCTTGACCACTAGGCACTAGGCTCTTCTTCACGACCTTTATGAGGTTTCCGAAAGTGCACTATACCTCTTCTGCACGACTCCTTTGTTCACGACGTATAGTAGAGGTGGGTTTGTTGGTTGACCCAACGATCTCCTGCTTCAGTCGTGAGACTGGTGTACTCTCCCTGGAACTCACATGGTTACGTGGACAACCACGGTGTGGAACATGGTCTTCCAAGGGGTCCATTCTCCACTTCCATGTTAGTTCCAGGGAGTGTACCATGTGTACCAAAAGACCGTTTCAAGGGATGAATTCTTCCGTAGGGACGGTAGGGAGAGACCAAATCCAGACACCAAAAAGAACCACGTACAGTCCGACCCAGGTTTAAGTCGTCCTGGTCCTGAACACCTCCCTAGGCATCTTACGGCTGTGTTTTTGGTCACCAGCTCCAGGTCCAAACGAGGTCAGTTCCTGACCTGTAGGGTGGAGACAAACATCTGCTTGTTTGGATGTATCCGCTGGGTGTCGTCATTATGTGCATTTGTTCGTCCTCCGGTGTAAGAAACGTGTCGTTGTACGGAAGGAAACGGGCTGGGTGTCAGTGTCAGTTTTTTTTTCCGCTGGATTGATGTGTTGCTGACAAGCAGATCCATCACAAGCAGGTGGTCACTGACCATCAGCGGGTATTTGGCAGCCAAAGAAAATGCGAATGGAAGTGCAGCGACACGTACAGTGCAACTTGTACATATATATGTACCATATGTACTTTGGCTCAAGGATCAAGCGACTAGAAAAGGTGCGGTTTCCGTTCCGACGCTACGCCGCTTATGGACCGTCAGTGATAGCTTCAAACTTCGCTGATTAAGATCCACTCGCAGGTTATCAGCCGTACGCGCTCTTTATAGCCGTACGAGCTACACGAGACCAAGAACAAGACTAGTCATTACAGAAACCTGCAATGTCAAGCTCAGGAGGAAATGGAAGCGAACCCTATTCATTCGCTGCTCCTGGTGGTCCCAACACCATTTCGTCACCAGACTCTACAATGGGTACTGATTCATCAGCAAATGCTGACGTTATCACTATGCCTACTGGATCACAAATCTCGGAAAGATCCGTGCCACCGGCTCGGAATCTGACCGATCTTGCACCCGTAGGACCAAGAAGATCGATGAGAGCTACAACAAGATCTACATCGCCTATAACGTCTACCGCGAGATCCCCAAGAAGGAGTATAGAGAAGAGACGTGACGATGATAGAGGAACAAAAGAGCAAAGAAGAGAGATTCAGCTGGGTGAAGAATTGAGATCGGCGAGAAACGCATACAATTTTCTTCATGAAGAATATGAATACATCCAAGCCGGATACTCACGACTACACCACGAGGCTGAAGTGGAGTTCAGGCAAATGTCTGACTACAACAGGAAGATGCAGGAACATCTACAGGAGATGACACAGGAGGATGAAGGAGCGACAATAAGAATTGAAGAGCTCGAACACAAGCTACGCTTGGCGGAATCGACAGCTGAACATATCTACATGAGATATCAAGAGCTTGCACAAGAAACTCATCAAGAACAATCAGAGCTTGAATCTGTGAAAGCAACGAAGGACAGAATGTCCCAAGAGCTTCAAGCAGCAATTGGACACATCCAAGAACAGAACGAATCTTCAATGGCGATCAATAGAAGATCAAAAGCCATTCAGGATGAGAACACAGCCTTCGTCGGAATAGCTGACCAGATACAAGCTAGAATGATTGCGCTACAGGATGAGAATGTCAACATGCACGAGGTGATCCAACACCAGAGAGAAGAACAATGGAACAGTGAGGTCAGGGAAAGACGTCTTCAACACAGTGTTCACTCATCTCAAGATCAGAGCAATCAGGAAGCTATGGTTATTGATCATCTACGAGGTCAACTAGCTATGGCACGTGGAGCTGAACTCAACGCGAGAGCGGAGATAGGAGAGATGGAAGTGGGCATGAGGATGGAGATGTTTGTATGCCAGACTGAAATCTCTGCTAAAGAAATGGCAGAAATGAAGGCGAGCCACCATGAATACGAAGCAAACGTCGCAAAGGAGGTTATCGCAAAAGGAGAAATATTCAACAACGAAGTCCTAGAAAGTTCCATCCGTGAACGACAACAATTGAAAGACGTCAACCTCGCTCTATCCGAAGCCAACGCACAGCTGAAAAGAGAGAATATGATGAGAGCTCCTATGTTCGGCGATGATGGTGCTGAAATTCAACAGAAGATCAGAGAACTGGAGAATGCACTATTGGAAAGCCAGAAGGAGACAAAGAATGTCATTATGGAAAATGCGAAATTAAAAGCAGAAGCACGAATGGCACCCATAGTCTCTCGGTACAGCAAGCGTCCTAGTTCCAGAGACCGCGGGTTACCAACCCACGCGTCCGAGGAAGATGAGATTCGGAACGCGAAAGAGGAGGCGAAGCACTACAAGGACGGGTACAATGAAATGACAGAGAGCCGAGATGAGATGTATGAATGGTATGCAGAAACCCACAATGAGTACGCCGAGGAAAGAGAGAAATCAATTGAGCTATCCGAGGCGAACAAATCATTGAGGGACAAGATTTCAGAAGCAGAAGCATCCTCTTCATCTCATCTTGCACCGGCAACCTCTACAATCATGAAAGTATCGAGGAAGGAAGAATCAAAGATAAACGTTCCGTCATGGCCCAGGATCAATGATCTTGGACTATGGAAGGCAAATCTCATTCAATCGATCATCATTGCGGCCAATGATTCAGATCAAGAGCCCTGGATCGACTGGATCAAAGAAGCCATGGACGACCCTGATCCGGACAAGTTTGTCGACTCAGGAGACCAAAGATTCCATTCAATCGATGCCAAACTCGGCCTAGCTCTTACCAAGGTCGTCATGGATGCGAAAGATGATGGTTCAGGTGTAGCTATGAAGTTGAGGACGAGGATCAATGCAAAAGGGAGAACATCAAGCCTCATAAAGGGAAGAGAGGTCCTAGCCCTGATCCTTATGAATTTCAAGACAACATCAAATGTGGAAGTCTTATATACTTCAATGCACCTCTACCAACTAGAATATCAAGGAGACAAGAACTTATCGTTGTTCTTCCACACTTGGGATGAGATTCTGGCAGGAATGAAGCCCGTTGACGTCCCGAGCGACGAAACTCTTCGGGATCTCCTGTGGAGAAAGATCAGGAACTCAAACCTCATGGCATACGACATCAGCGCCTACAATAGCATGAACGACGATGATGCCAAGAAGACATACAAACATCTACGTGATATGATCAGAAGGCACATCGAACGGCAAACTGAAGACAGGATGATCCTGGAAAAGGAGAAGGCAGTGAAGAATGTGGCCAATATCTTTCAGAATCTCAAACCAGGCGGACCTGCTCCAAAACTGAAAGCTGCACCAGCTGATCCGAAGAAGAAACCAAAAGGGCAACAAGAACAGGTTGTCTCAGAAGACGCTGCTGCAGTGAAGCCGAAACCCAATCCCAAGAAGCATCCTGAAGACAAGAACAAAAAGGGAAAGGGGAAAGGTAAAGGTGATGGAAAGGATCGCAGCCGAAGTCCGAGTGCAGACAAGAAGAAGATACCATGCAAATTCTTCGTGAAAGGTAACTGCACTATGGGGAAAGATTGCCCATTCAGTCACAAGAAACCCAGATCACCATCCAGAGGATCTTCTGTCGGAAAGAATGACAAGCCAGTATGTTGGATGTGGATTCGAGGAACTTGTGACAAAGGGAAGGATTGCAAGTTCTACCATGACCCAAAAGCCTCTCCTAAGAAAGGGATATCTGCACCAGCTGACTCAGGAGACGATAGGCCAAAGCCCAAGGCAAAACCCAAACCGAAGCCTAAGGCGAAGCCTGGAGCCCCAGCCATTGACGGTGAACTCCTCATGGACGAATCCGAAGATGAAGGGATTGCTGCATCCGCCAAGGCAAGAGAAGGAGGTGCAAAAGTATCCTTTGATGAAGAGACTTGTGAGATCATGTTGAACGAAGCGATCTACTCAGTCAGGAACAAATGGAAGGTAGTAGAAAGGAAACCTCTACGTCCAGACATCAAACGATACGATGAGAAAGAGCTCACCTGCTACACGAGGAAAGAACAAATCAGATTTGAAGAAAAGGTCGCAGAGGCAAGAGGCATATTGATGGTCCCCTACACTGAGATCAAGAGGGTCCGAATACCAGTTGGACCAAAGGGTGACCTATCGGTCACTATGTCTTTTGACGAAGATGACGGCCTAGTTTTCCATCATAAAGTCATTCCTCATGTATGCGAGGGAAAGAAAGATCATGCAGACACAAAAACATTGTCTATTCCAGCCAAAGGGTCAAGAACAAAGTTCATCATGGACACAGGATGTGGGTATGATTTGATATCAAAAGGCAGAGCCAAGAAATTAGGTCTGGAAGTGAGAGAAAGCGACCAATCAATGTCATTCTATACCGCAAATGGAGTGACATCCACAAAAGGAGTCGCCGACATTCATTTCGACGAATTTGACTCTACCTACTCCCCATTCGTCTTAGATGAGTCTCCTTCAGTACTGTCTGTTGGAAAGAAATGCATGGAGGAAGGATACACATTCATATGGCCAGCCTGCGGCAACCCGTAC